GGTTCTGGACCAGTGTCTGAGTGTTTTTCAGGTTGCTGTCAGTCCTAAAGGCTGTTTGTTGGGCATATTGTCTTTCCTGTATATGCGTGAGAGACTGTGGTAGGTGCATCGCGGGTTAAAAGGCGTGCTGACCCCCAACACCGCACCCGGGTGGGAACCACCTGCCACGGTCACCACCCAACACCCAGCGGCTCTCAGAAGAGGAGCAGCTGGAGGCCGCGGCGTGTTCTGCACATGCTAGGCGTCTCCGCCTCTGTGCCGGCAAAGGCCGCCCAGCACACAGGGTGCAGATGCTGAGTCATTACTGCATTCACAACTCTGTGTACTGGGTTCACAACTCTGTGTACTGCGTTCACTGTTTTTTTGCCCAAGTTGCCATTTCATTGTTTTATATCCTGTGATATTGCAAGGGATCAACATTAATCATAAAATAATTGTGTGTTGGGGGAAGGGGTAGGAAAATGCTAAAATTCCATTGTATGAATGAAACATAATTAATCTTCTGCATTAGTTTACCGCTCATATTTTTTCCAATATGTCAGTTTCACATGATGTATTATCATATTCCCTTATAACCAATACTAGTCTAGTGTGTGGCAAACTGCCAGGTCAAATGGGGTCTGATCTCCTGCATTCCGGATGGGGTCGTGTAATCGTCAGACCCAGCATGTGGCCCATGTAGACCCATTCAGACCGGGACTCTGTACCTCTCCTCACAAACAGCACCCTTGTGTACACCTTCATAAAATCGTCAGCGTGTGATGTCTCAGATTCCGTCACCTTGTGAGTATGTCGTTTTTTCAGTGCGGCTCGTGTAATCACAGGGGGTACGGCACTATGGGTCACATAGCGACCAGTGAGAAAAATATTTGTGAAAATTTTAAATGAGAAACATGATTATTTTTTTTATTTTTTTTGCCCTTCATCGAGGTATTTACCTACCTAAACTAGTCAGTGCCGCTCATGCGTTTTCAGGTCTAAAAGACAAATCCAAAATGCTGTAAGGCACAAGTACAGAATGGATTCAAAATAACCAAAACGAGGGCTGCACTATATGGACATTGAATGTTTTGAGCGTTATTTGTCTGAAACAAATGAGCAGTTCAGCACAGCACTGACTCTTGCATATTAAGCTTTTTAAATCATTAACATAGCCCTCATGATAAGCAAGTTTTATGCAAGTTCAACGTTAATTTAATAGCTTAACACATTGAGATTAGTCAGCTGAGTTTTGTCCATAAAATGACTTTTAACATTTATGTGAATTTAACTTTAGTGTTAAACACTTTATCTTAATAATATGCACTATAGTTCATACCCCCCAGACCTGTACAATTAATTTAAGAATGGAAAAATTAACATTAATGGTAACTACGCTGAATCCTTTGCAGGCTAATTATTAGCCTGTTTGTAACATTGGCACCCCAATGCAGAAGACGAATTTAGCATGAGTAAGTTATTATTAAGTGTAATTTGATTATTATACTGCAAACCATTTAAAATATATATTGGTTTTATTAAAATCAGACAATACTAAATAAAGACGGGACGAATATATACAGCAGAAGTTTATACCGACTACTGTGGACCATAATCAGAGGGGATCCAGTTTATTTTTCAGCTTGCTTGCTGCATGGTGAAATGAAAATGTCATTTTATTAGTGTAAAGTGTGAAACGTTGCAACCCTGTTTGGTTCAACCATAAATTATATATATATATATATATATATATATATATATAAAAAAATATGCACCCTGGTCTACCTTAGCTCTATTTGTTTGAGAATTGATACTGATTAAAAAGGGGGGAAACTAAAGATGAAGTCTGGTACGTAAACAGCTCCCTAAGCACCCTGCCAGAAAAGGGAAAAGCACTGATTGGTTCATTGAGAGATGTTGGGCTTTAATCAGAGCGGTCCCAGTCTGCCACCATTCCACTCCAAATGTAGCTGTTGCGCCTCCAGCCTCTTTCAGTGGTCTGTTCCATTTCTGTCTCTCTGAAGCTTGTTCCAGACACTTCCCGTGTCCACATTGCGAGCGGTTTTGCCGTGTGCCATTTTCGGTGTGGCATCCATGGGAGGTGCTGAAGGGTGTCTGCACAAAACCGAGAGACCATAAGAGTGACGTCTACAGGGGAGCAGCCATTGTTATTCTCTCAGAGGTCACCCTTCTTTTATGTTTGTATATAAATTCCTCCAAAAGCTTTATTTTTTATTTGCCCTTTTTTTTTGCTCTTGATTTTGCATTTGTTTTTAATGCAGAATATATAAAGAATGTCAATTGGTCTTTCTAAGTGGCATACTGTCCATTATAAAATTGCATAATAAAAGATTTTATAACTGCTTTGAGGTATTTTATTGAGTGTGATGTCAACGTGTCTATAATGCGAGCCATTGTGAGTATCGAGAGAAGATTTGATACAAATGGGAGAGGTTTTGCCTACTAAAAGGGCAGTACTTTTACACTATAAATACTACAAGACTTAAAGTCAAATCACTGGTGGAAGGCAGTGGGTGCTGCGAGCCTGGGAGGATTTATCCAGCTAGTATTGCTGTTTCTCTAGTTACTACTGTATTTCAGTCCTCTTCTAGGGAAAGCAACCGTTTCATTTTCCTCCCCTTACTGTATTAAAGTATAAGCATGCTTCATATTTTACGCAGTGTTTTTCACATCAATTCAAAGTTACCACTGGGCAAATGAAAAAAAAAACACTAAGTATTGGCCTTTGGCAGTAATCCGACACACAGGAGTATCGGCATGATTGTGCAGCAGGTCTTCAATATTGTGACAGAGGAATGGATTTTTTTTAAAGCACTGAGGGTATTCAGCCACCAGATGGCGACATTAGCTTTTTTATTTCCATAGTGTAATTTTCATACTTGCCACAGGACCACCATCTGCTGTATATTAGTAAGCAATAGCTAGGGTCAATATCCTATTTCAAGGGATTTATACCCCTTATCAGGAGTTCAAAGCTAGACAAAATAAAGTATTTATTTTTCATTCTCAAAGAAATTGGTATCCTTTGTGCTTGTGGAATTGCCTTGGCTTAATGTTGACTCAGTGTAACGGGCAGTCGCTTATCTTCCAAAGTCATTATGATCTTTTGAGGGGTGTCCATGGTCTGATAATGAAGGTTTCAGCTTCTTCTCACAAGATAATGTGATATTTGCTGTCTGGCTGATTTCTGAATCACTGGCAATGCCAAGTTCAGCAAAAAAAAGATTAAAAAATCCTGGAGATTATGCCAAAAACGTTTAGTCTTGCAAAAACAAAAGCAAAGCAACTCTTTTCTTTTCTTAAGTGCATGTTTAAATGTATAATTATTATTTGTCAGTGAGTCTGAGCTGTTATTACTCTATAGTAAGAAGAATAAAAATACTGAGGGAGATATTTACTGGTTTTATTTAACCCTGAATCTGATGTGCTTTGAGGAAGGTGCGACTCACATCATGATCCTGTTTAGAAGCAATTAGATTTTTTTTTTTTTTTCTCGGTCTGTAACATATATTTAAATGGTAATTAGCCGTTCATTCAGTTGTAGTATTTTATCTGTTTATGGGTTGCTGTGATCTGAACTTAGTGACGTTTAAGGTGTGGAAACCCAAGCAAACTCTTCAGATAAGAGCGGTTGCAGTTGGGAACTACGCTTCTAGAATTATCGAGTTACAGCTCCACTCACTATGCTGCTGTCTTCATTTATTACCGGCAATTGCTTCCTTTAATTACTCATCAGCTCCTCAGCCCGGAACAACAGTAAATGTTACCAAAAAAAAAGTTAATTTAACACTCATGTAGTATAAGCTTCAATGCACAAACGAGCTGTAGCAAGTCAGTGAGAAATGCAAATTAGAAAAACTTACTTTAATGATCCTTTATTCTTAAGCACTTAATTGGAAAATAAACCAGACTACTAAGTGGACCTTCAATACTCGAATGAACAAATAAGTGCTTTAAGACAGTTTACCATTGAAGCATGACCAATATTTAAAAAAGAAAGTAATAGTGGCGTTTTCATGTACCAACAGGCAGTTAAGGTGGTTCGGGCATCTGTCTAGGATGTCTCCTGGACGGCTCCCCAGGGAGCCGTCCAACCGGGAGGAGACCCCGGGACAGACCCGGGACACGCTGGAGAAATTATATCTCTCTGCTGGCCTGGGAACACCTAGATATTCCCCCGGAGGAGCTGGAGGAGGTAGCTGGGGAGAGGGAGGTCTGGGCGTCCCTGCTTAGACTGCTGCCCCCTAACCCTGACCTGGATAAACGGCAGTGAATGGATGGATGGATTTTATGTATCTAAAAGGAATACAACACAAAAAAGCTGATTCAGGTCTATGTCCAAGTCCACTCATATCAAGTCAATCCAAATCTACTAGAAAGCAGACATTGGTTTCGGTCAGACATTTGATGAATCTGAAAAAAATTAGCATTTTTCTCAATCACTGACTAAGGTTATGTCCTTTAATAGACAAAATTTTTGTATAAAATATTCACTCAAAGCATAACATTTATGATCACATACACAAACAAGCAACACAAACTGGTAAATGTGTAACAGTTTTGAAAGCCCTGTCCTTTTCCTGTGTGCTGGTAGGTAGAGTTTTCAGGTTAAGGGAGTAGT